CTCCAAGCCCAGCACAAGTGGCAGCCACCTACAGATCACTTTGTAGGTCATACTAAGTGGCCTCAGGAAGGGCACAGGCAACAACTGATCTTGGCCTGCACCAGAGCCCCTCCCTGGTGACTAGCTTCAGACCACACCAGAGCACCACCCAGCCACCTCCACAAATGACACACCCAAAGGACAGACTCAGCCTGCACCAGAGCCCCACTAAAGCAAATCCTGCTCCATAGGGTCAGCCCCTGCACTGTAGTCACAGTTAGTCCTAACAACCAATCAGCCTGAGGGTCAGTCCTTCCCACTGATGTGCAAATAGCAACCAAGGGTCAACTGCAACAGGAGGGCACACACAACCTACACAAGGGGCACAACTGAAGCACCACTGCACCACTGCACCACTGCACCACTGGGCCCCACAGGACACCTACAACATAAGGCCACTCTATCAAGACCAGGAGACATAGCAGATCTACTTAATACATAGAAATAAACACAGGAAGGCAGCCAAAATGAGGAGACAAAGAAATGTCTCAAATAGAAGAACAGAACAAAACTCCAGAAAAATAGCTAAACAAAATGGAGACAAGCAATCTACCAGATGCAGAGTTCAAAACACTAGTTATAAGGATTCTCAGTGATCTCAGAATTTCAACAAAGAGATAGGAAACATAAAAATGGAGATAGAATGCATGAAAAAGAGCCAGTCAGAAATGAAAAAATACAATAACCGAAATGAAGAATAACTGAAATGAAGAGGGAATCAACAGTAGATTAGATGAAGCAAAGGATTGAATCAGCAATTTGGAAGATAAAAGTAGAAAACACCCAATCAGAATAGCAAAAAGAAAATGTCCAAAAAAGCGAGGATAGTTTTAGGGGCCTTTGGGACAACATCAAGCATAACAACATTCACATCCTATGGGTACCAGAAGAAGAGAGGGAGCAAGGAATTGAAAACCTATTTGGAGAAATAACAACAGAAAACTTTACTAACCTGGCTAAGGAAACAGACATACAAGGCCAGGAAGCGCAGAGAGTCCCCAAACAAGGTGAACCCAAGAGACTCCACACCCAGACACATAGTTAAATTGCTAAAGATTAAAGACAAAGAGAATCTTAAAAGCAGCAAGAGAAAAGCAGTTACTTATCCACAAGGGAGCTCCCATAAAACTGTCAGCTGATTTCTCAACAGAAACATTGCAGGCCAGAAGGGATTGGCATGAAATATTCAAAGTGATGGAAAGCAAGGATCTGCAACCAAGAATTTCTATACCCAGCTAAGCTATCATTGAGAATCACAGGACAGATAAAAACTTCCCAGATAAGTTCATCATCACCATCACACCAGTATTACAAGAAATATTAAAGGGACTTCTTTATGAAGAAGAAAAAAAGATAAAAAATATGAATAATAAAATAGCAATAACTGCATATCTATCAACAATTACATTAAATGTAAATGGATTAAATGCTTCAATCAAAAGACTTAGGGTGGCTGAATGGATAAGAAAACAAGACCCTTACATATGCTGCCTATAAGAAACTCTCTTCAGATTGAAAGACACATATTTCATAAAAATGGAAACAGAAAAAAGCTGGGTAGCAATACTTCTACCAGACAAAATAGACTTTAAAACAAAGGCTATAACAAAAGACAAAGAAGGACCCAATAATCCCACTTCTGGGTAGTTATCCAAAGAAATCCAGAACACTAATTCAAAAAGACATATAAATCCATATGTTCATTGAAGCATTATTTACAACAGCCAAGATATAGAAGAAACATAAGTGTCTATCAATAAGTGAACAGATGAAGAAGCAGTTCTTGTGTACAATGAAATTTATATACTCAGCCATAAAAAAAAAAAAAGAAAATTTGCCATCTGCATGACATGGATAGACCTAGAAGGTATTGTGCTGAGTAGAGTAAGTCAGACAGAGGAAGACAAATGCCATATGATTTCACTTACATGTGGAATCTAAAGAACAAAATAAATGAACAAGCAGAAATGAACTCATAGATACAGAGAACATTTTGATGGTTGTCAGGTTGAGGGGATCGGTGAAAAGGGGGACAGGATTAAGCAGTACAAATTGATAGTTACAAAATAGTCATGGGAATGTGAAGTATAGCATAGGGAATATAGTCAATGATATTGTAATAACTATGGTGTCAGATGGGGACTATACTTATCAGGGTGATCACTTCGTAAGTACATAAACATCTGATCACTATGTTGTACATATGAAACATATAATATTGTATGTCAACTGCATTGAAAAATAAATTTAAAAAAAATACTATATTGTACTGGCATAAAGATCAGACATAGACCGATGGAACAGAATAGAGAGTCCAGAAATAAACTTTTTCATATATGGTCAAATGATTTTCAACAAGGATGCCAAGGCTACACAATGGAGAAAGGACAGTCTCTTCAATAAATGGTGCTGGAAAAATTGTGTATCCACATGCAAAAGAATTAAATTGGACCATTACCTTACACCATATACAAAAATTAACTCAAATAAAGACTTAAATGTTAAGACCTGAAACTATAAAACTCCTAAATGAAACATAGGGGAAAAGCTTCATGGCACAGGTTTGCCAATGATTTATTGAATCTGACCTGAAAAGCACAGGCAAAAAGAAAAAAAAAAAATAGACAAAGGGACTTTATAAAACTTAAAAACTTCTGTGCATCAGAGGAAACAAACAACAGAGTGAAAAGGCCATTATGTTTTCCATAGCAGCTATGCAATTTTACAGTCCTACCAACAGTGACAAGGGTTCCAATTTCTCCATACTCTTGTCAACACTCGTTATTTTCTGTTTTCTGTTTTGTTTTGTTTTTTATATTGGTCATCTTAATGGATATGAGGTGATTTCTCATTGTGGTTTTGATTTATATTTCCTTAATGACTAATGATGTTGAGCACTTTTTTATGTGCTTACTGGTCATTCGTATATATTTGTAGAAGTATCTTTTAAATCCCTTACCTACTTTTTGAGTTTTTTTTGTCTTTTTATTGTTGAATTGTAAGAATTCTTTATTCTATATACAAGGCCCTTATCAGATAAATGACTTGCAAATATTTTCTCCCATTCTGCAGGTTTTCTTTTTCACTTTCTTGATGGTGACCTTTGAAGCACAAAAGTTATTAATTTTGATGGTCTAATTTATCTGTTTTTTTCTTATGTCACTTGTACTTTCAGATATTCTATTTGATGTCTTCAGTGATTTATCTGAACATTTGATTTGTTCGCTGGAAACATAATTGTATTATTCTTAGTTTTCTTGGTTTGGAATTGTAAAGTACTTGACTTAAATTATTTGCCAATAATATATAGAGGAGCTTAGAAATGTCGATACCCATTAAGCTGGTAAACCCATTTTTGCGAACTTAGCCTATATACCCAGAAGTCATTTCATTGTCACATATGAGAGAAGGATGCTGGAAGCCTGTTCAATAGCAAAAGAGGATGAGTTAAGTCCATAGTGGTACATTATTAGGTAGCTGTTGAATGTTATAATTATGAAGCTTATTTAGTGAAAATGTTTATGATGTAATGTTCAGTGAAAAAAAAGTGTGTTCCCATCAAGATTAAAAATATGTATAAAATATTTGCACTAGATGGAAGAGTATACAAAATTATAGGGATTTTATTTTCTTAAATTTCACTTAATATTGATATTTTATCTTTACAATTGAAATTTAAGTAAAAATATATACATGACATTTTAAATTGGAGAAATGGTGACAAGTGGTTAGACCTGGGCATGTTTGTTCTTATCCTGACTATTTTTTAGTACCAATTATTTTTCATTATCATGATCATCAGGGTAGACTCATACACATAAAAATAGTTTGTCGTGTTTATTTATTAAGAATTTGAATAGAGATATTTTAATTCTCTTTATATTTTTATATAAAATTCAAACACTGATAACAAGATTTTGGTATTAGAATTACTATTATTTCAGTTATTATCATTACAATTTGCTACAAGAAAGGTAATGATGATAATGGTGATATTTTGTTATTAATAGGGATCACAGCAACACTATCTCAGGCCTCTCGTGAAAGAATTATTATTATACTTGTAAACAAATCAATCACCCAGCTTTTGAAATAAATTTCAAACGGATCAATGATTTGAGTTGTTTTTCTTTTTAAGGAATAAAAGTATTGAAAGAAAGAAAAAAGCGAGCACAATACAAGGTCACATGTAGTTTTTGCACCCAATGTGAGGCCACGCTTTGATTCGCTGCACCCAGGGAGAGAATACATGGCTGGCTGGGCCACAGACTGGCTCTGTGGATTCCCCGGCCCTCAGGCCTTTGGCTTCACCTGAGAGACAGTGATCTGGGGTACAGCCAGTAACTGTGAGGCGATCCCTCTTCTGTGGCCTGGAATGGGTTTGATAGAGCAGCAGACAGGGGAAAGCCACAGAGAGAAACCCTGGCTCCTACAGCCAGTCTGTGCCGCCACTGCTGCCCGCCTCCACTCCCCTCCTGCTGACTTGGCCTCTGGGCCTGGCTTGGGAGAGGCAGAGGCGTCATCTTGTTCTCATATGTGGGAAGGCTATGAAAAGAAAAACCCTGGATGGCCCAAACATTTAAACAAGAATTACACTAGGATCTTTTGTTCTCGCTTGGACATGGTCAGAATTAATTTGGAAGTCCAAAAGATGATTATTTTTTTGTTGTCGTTTTTGTTTTTGAATCTGAGTTACTTGATGCGAGGATACAGAGTGAAATACAAAACAAAAACACATGGCTGAAGTCTATCAAATGGTATTGGAACATCCCCAGGTCATTCTTCAGGGCACCATTTTGTTAGTGTTTGGGGGACTCCTGACTCAAACTAACATCTAAGCCGCTTGCCGAACTTCCTGTCAAAAGGCCCCAGTGATGGAAGTCAAGCAGTGGCATGCGCCTGGGCATCTGAGAAATGCACAGAGCTTCAGAGATCTTAATCATGTTTTTCTTTCTCCTCAGGTATAGTAGGGAAAACTCGCTTTCTGCAAACAACTGAAAAAGCTACCCTTGGAAACTGTTTCTTTGGCCCTCATGAAGCAGCTCAAACTCGTACTGTGAGTCCCTTGATGGGACAAGCTTCCCACCCACTGATCACCCGGAGTGACTGTCACCATGGCCAGCAAGAGGAAATCCACCACCCCGTGCATGATTCCCGTGAAGACTGTGGTGCTTCAGGACGCCAGTGCAGAGGCCCAGCCTGCTGAGGCTTTGCCTGCAGGACCCCAGCAGGATCTGCCCGCAGAAGCGCCTGCCACCAGCAGCGAGGCCGCCCAGAACTCCAGCAGTACCGATGGTGCCACACTGGCCAATGGGCATCGGAGCACTTTGGATGGCTATTCATATGCCTGTAAATACTGCGATTTCCGATCCCAAGACATAACTCAATTTGTGGGACATGTGAACTCCGAGCACACAGACTTTAATAAAGACCCAACTTTTGTATGCACTGAGTGCAGCTTTCTGGCAAAAACTCCTGAGGGGCTTTCTCTGCACAATGCCAAGTGTCACTCGGGGGAAGCCAGTTTTGTGTGGAACGTGGCCAAGCCAGACAATCATGTAATCGTGGAGCAGAGCGTCCCTGAGAGCACCAGCACTCCTGACCTATTGGGTGAGCCCAATGCTGAAGGGACTGATGGACAGGCCGAAATCATTATCACCAAAACTCCAATCATGAAGATAATGAAAGGCAAAGCTGAAGCCAAGAAAATTCACACACTCAAGGAGAATGTCCCCGGCCAGCCCGTTGGTGAGGCCTTACCAAACCCATCAGCGGGGGAAACAGATGTCAAAGAGGGAGACCACTCCTTTGTCAATGGGGCTGTCCCGGTCAGCCAGGCATCTACCAACCCCGCAAAGCCCCCGCATGCCGCCAATGGGCCTCTGATAGGAACAGTGCCTGTTCTGCCGGCCGGCATAGCACAGTTCCTCTCTCTCCAGCAGCAGCCCCCAGTGCATGCCCAGCACCACGCCCACCAGCCACTGCCCACCTCCAAGTCCCTTCCCAAAGTGATGATCCCACTGAGCAGCATTCCAACGTACAATGCGGCCATGGACTCCAACAGCTTTCTGAAGAACTCTTTCCACAAGTTCCCCTACCCAACCAAAGCTGAGCTCTGCTATTTGACTGTGGTCACCAAGTATCCAGAAGAACAGCTCAAGATCTGGTTCACGGCCCAAAGGCTGAAACAGGGGATCAGCTGGTCCCCTGAGGAGATCGAGGATGCCCGGAAAAAGATGTTCAATACAGTCATTCAATCTGTACCTCAGCCCACAATCACTGTTCTAAATACGCCCCTGGTTGCCAACGCCGGCAGTGTCCAGCATCTCATCCAGGCTGCTCTCCCGGGCCACGTTGTGGGACAGCCAGAGGGCACAGCAGGGGGACTTCTGGTCACTCAGCCACTGATGGCCAATGGGTTGCAGGCACCAAGCTCGTCTCTCCCCCTAGCGGTTACATCGGTCCCCAAGCAGCCGGCTGTCGCGCCCATCAACACTGTGTGCTCTAACACGACGTCCGCGGTGAAGGTGGTCAACGCGGCCCAGTCGTTGCTCACGGCGTGCCCCAGCATCACTTCCCAGGCCTTCCTCGATGCTAGCATCTACAAAAATAAGAAGTCTCACGAACAGCTGTCAGCTCTGAAAGGTAGCTTCTGTCGGAACCAGTTCCCAGGACAGAGCGAGGTCGAGCATCTGACCAAAGTGACCGGCCTCAGTACCAGGGAGGTGCGGAAATGGTTCAGCGACCGGAGGTACCACTGCCGGAACCTGAAGGGCTCCCGGGCCATGATGCCCGGCGATGCAGGCTCCCTCCTCATCGACTCCGTGCCAGAGGTGCCCTTCTCCCCAGCATCCAAGGCCCCCGAGGTGCCCTGCACCCCGACGGCAGCCACCCTGGCCACCCACCCTTCTGCCAAACGACAGTCCTGGCACCAGACCCCGGACTTCACACCAACCAAATACAAAGAGCGAGCCCCTGAGCAGCTCAGAGCCCTGGAGAGCAGTTTTGCACAAAACCCGCTTCCTCTGGATGAGGAACTGGACCGCCTGAGGACTGAAACCAAAATGACCCGGAGAGAGATTGACAGCTGGTTTTCTGAGAGACGGAAAAAGGTGAACTCCGAGGAGCCCACGAAGGCTGATGGGAGTGCCTCTCAGGAGGAGGGGGAGGCTGCCGAGGAGGAGGGAGGAGCAGAGGGTTCGGCTGGTGACCTGAGGGTCCCTGGGGAGAGTGGCTCTCCAGACGTGCCCAGCAGCCACACCTCGGCCGAACGCAAAGTCAGCCCCATCAAAATCAACCTCAAGAACCTGCGGGTCACCGAAGCCAATGGCAAGAGCGAGCTGCCGGGGCTGGGCGCCTGCGAGCCGGAGGATGACGGGTTGAGCAGGCTGGCCGAGCAGCACCCGGGCAGGGCGACCTACAAGAAGACAGCGCAGCAGAGGCACTTGCTGCGCCAGCTCTTCGTGCAGACGCAGTGGCCGAGCACCCAGGACTACGACTCCATCATGGCCCAGACGGGGCTGCCGCGGCCGGAGGTGGTGCGCTGGTTTGGCGACAGCCGGTACGCCCTGAAGAACGGCCAGCTCAAGTGGTACGAAGACTACAAGCGGGGTAACTTCCCGCCGGGGCTGCTGGTCATCGCCCCCGGCAACCGGGAGCTGCTGCAAGACTATTATGTGACACACAAGACGCTGTACGAGGAGGACCTGCAGACCCTCTGCGACAAGACCCAGATGAGCTCTCAGCAGGTCAAGCAGTGGTTCGCTGAGAAAATGGGCGAGGAGACCCGGGCCGTGGCAGACCCAGGCAGTGAGGACCAGAGCCCTGGCGACTCTGCGGCAGTTCACAAAGGGCTGGGCGACACCCGTTCAGAGGTGTCAGAAAACAGTGAGTCATTGGAGCCTCATGCCCCTGAGGCCAGCTCAGAGCCCTGTGACACACCGAGTCCCCAGGCTGGACGTCAGCTGGGTAAGGCACCCATGGGAGTCCTGGCTATCCTCTGTGCGTATGGGGAGGGGGCACCCATGGGTGGGCACTGAGTTACCTGCATGGGGGCATCTGCTGTGTCGAAGGCTGCCTGGCAGCAGGACTAAATCGCCTGGCTGTTTTGGGGACAAGTGGCAGCAGATGTCATTGGAGTATAACATGATAAAGGGTTCAGAGTTGTTTTTTCGTTTCATGTTTTTTTTTTTTTTTCTTAAGCTGTGCAGGGGAAGGAACCTAAAACCTAAAAGAGTCCGAAGTTTTCTAGCCATTGCTTAGCAATAGAATAGGTCAAAGTGTCACCCAAGTTGGGCACAAACACAACTACTGGGTAGGAGAGAACAACAGAACTTTTGAGGAAGTTCAACACAAATTGGTGAACAAAAGAAAAGAGCCTTTAACTGTTCTTTGATGTATGAAATGTTTTTTCGATGATGAAAATCCTGTCATTTATATTTCTGTTGTTCTTCCTGATGTAGAAGTAATGGAAAATTATCTTCTCTCTAGCTGTATATGGAATCAAAAGCTTGAATTTTGTTCCTCAGTTTCTCTGGATCATGGTATTAGTACCTGACAGAAAACTACTTTATTGAAGACGATTTTGAAGCCACATTCAAGTCACGTTACTGGGTGTTGATTTTCTAGGGCCTTGTCCCTGAGTCCCCAGCCTGTCCCTTCCTTCCCCACCCTGAGGCATTTGTCTCCTCATCAAAGGCCTCATCCCAGGGCGGCCAGGAACCATGTCACTTAGCCCTTCACAGGAGGCTGTGGAAGCTGAGGAAGTATCTGGATTCTCAGGTTCTCTGATCTGTGAACATGTAGAAGTTGGTTCTGGGGCCTGATATTTCTGGACTTGCCCTTGTTTCCCTCCAGCGCCCCCGTCCCCGCCCTCCCCATGAGTCTGTGAGGACCTCCCAGGGAGTGTCGTGGGAACAGGGAACAGGTGTAGCTTCACAGGGCTGGATGTCTCGGGCATCTTGTCCAGCACGAGGCCTGTACCCGGGCTTTGGCCTTGCCAGCAGGACAGCATAGGTTGCTGGGAACTGGAACAAACTAGTTTCTTTTGCCTTTTTTAATTAATTTTTTTCCCCTAAATTCTTGGGTAGCTGGAAATGGGGTGGCGGTTACACAACATTGCGAATGTACTTAATGCCACTTAATGTACACTTAAAAATGATTCAAATGGAAGGGTTTGTGTTATGTATATTTTACCACAATTGTTTAAGAAGCTAACCTGCTGGAACTGGCATGATGGGTTTGCACTGCGAGCACTGGCTCTCCCCTCAGCTACGAAATCGAACACAAAGTGAAGTGTCAGTGTTCTAGGTGGGACAGAACAGGAGCGGCAAAGGGCAGCCATGCCATTGTGACATCGTCCTCTTTTCTCCAAGGCAGATGAGCATGGGTGCAGGAAGGGCTTGTCTGTGTATCTTACCTGGCTTCTCACAGCTCTGTCAGCAGCATCAATGCAAGGGCCACTTCTGTAAGCCGCACAGATGATGGCCCTCTCTGAACAGCCCAGTGACTTTGACTTGAGGGTTGGAAGTTGTAAACGAAGGGAAGACATGGGTAGAATATACATCTCAGAACCTAGACCAGCTGCCGTTGCAGCAGAGCAGTGTGTCCTGGAGAGCGGGAGGGAGCGGGCAGGGCGAGTGGATTAAGTCGGCTCCAGAGGTGGCAGGGCCTGGGGAGCCGGGCCGAGGCAAGCAAGCCGGGGGGCCTGGAGAAGTCCAGCTCTTGCTCCGGCCGCCAGGCCTGGGGCTTGTCGGTGATCCCTAGCGGGGTCTGCGGCTTGGCCAGCTTAGCCAGCACCGTCCTCAACCCACACCCATCCTTCAGATTCCCTCAGGCTGCAGACTGGGGGAGTGGCTGGCAAGGCATTGCTCATGGAATTAAGAGGTCCCCAAAGCCAGTGATGCCACCCTGGCAGGGCAAGGACGGCATCACTGCTGCCCTGTGGGAGACGCAAGCGGCAGCTAACATGGAGGTGACAGGTATGTGTTTTCTCTTCAGAAACGGACTGAATTTGAACCCGTTATTGTGAAGGACTGGCCAGTCTGGGATGCCGCCTGCCACGTGGAAGGGCCCACCCCGACTCTGCTGTCACATGCCGTTCTCGTTCCTGGCCGCTGGGTGCGCGCAAGAGCTTCTAGAAGCCTTGCAGACAGCCCAGAGCCCGCCGCCACCTTCGGCCTGCCACCCCCGAGCAAGCACGCGGGAGAGCAGAGTTCTCGTCAGTTCTTCCTCCCACAATGTAGGACCTTTCCTTTGCCTTCCAGTGGATAAAGTAGTTCAGATTTCATATTCATAGACACAGAATCAAGTTTTTAACATATAAATCCGCCTACACACATTTAATAAAACATCGGATTATAAACACTTTTATTACATAGAAACTTTGGTTAGCAAAGCAGTACATCGTCTTTTGCATCATCTCTGAAAATGCCCTGTGTCTGTTCTCTGGAGATCGCTGGGGCCGGGCGGGGGTGACTGGCACACTCCCTGCGTCTGAGCCCCTGTGCCCGCTGGGTTCCAAGGAAGGCGGTACCTTAGGAGAGCTCTCCGCCACATTAAGCGGTGACCAGCAGGATTTCCTGCCAGGCTCACCTTGCCCGATGGGATAATCAGCGCAGAACCTGCCGTTACCCGCATTTCAAAAACAGACTGGTGACTAGTGTTTCATGCTTACCACTCTGAAGTGGTTGCAGGAATTCTGCTTTTTCGTAGAAGTTTGAATCATGGACCATAACTTTTCAGTTATCAGATCAACTAAAGAAACATTTTTGTTAAGCCTAATGCACTTACCTATGTGCCCGCATTTCTTAAAAATCTAGACATGTTTCGAGTGAGAGGAAAGTTGAAAACAAACAGGTGGGGACAGAGGTCAACGTGTATGGCCACAGCGCTGGGCCCCCTGCTGCTCCGAGCCCTTTGCCTCACTCACCCCAAAGCTGCCTGTGGCCTGGGAGGGATGACCCACGCCTGCCTGGCAGAGTGAGAGCCGCCAAGACTCAGGACTTCGTAGAATTATCAGAGCTGGGGCGGTCTTTGGCACAAAGGCCTGCATGTGGGGGTTCCTGGCAGAACCCAGAGTACTCCTGGCCCCCACACCAAAGGCCTGGCTGGCATGCTGGGCACTCACCCCAGGGGTGCTGGAATCACTGGACAGGTCCTTGTGAGGATTTAGAGTTTTAAAGTTCTATATTTATATACGCAAACTTGGAAAGATCTCTGTCTACTTTAGCTTGACCCTCGTATCCATTTTTTTTTTTAATTGAGAAAAATCACAGGAAAAGGTGCCTTTGAAACATTGGGGCACTTGCTTACAAAGCTGTCCTAAATGGAAAGGCCCTATTTCCCCAATACTGGCTGCTCGGAAAGCCACAGGTAAAGACTGGGCGGGCAGAAGCAGCATCACCTCAGCTCCTCGTGACCTAGACACCACCTGCTTCCCGAAGCATCAGGCCTCGTGGGCACACCCCTGCCAGGCCCAGGCTGGGCAGGCAGCACTATGTGACTCAGAAGGCAGGGGCCTTGGGCAAGAAAGCTGGTGGTGGGCCGGGCACGGTGGTTCTCCCCCACCCCACCCAGGGAACTGGGCCGGGCAAGGCCCCTCACTGTCCTGGCTCCGAGGACGAAGATGCTGGTAGCACATTCTGCCCCCCAGGAGAGGGCTTGCTTTGGAAAGCAAAACCCTTGGCCTGTTGTTGTTTGGAAGCATCTTCTCCTGCCCTCTCTGTCTCAGTAGGGACCACCTCTCACGTGTTTCAAACAGGTGACTTCTGAGAACTTGGCGAGTTTTACAGCCTGTTTTGTATCCTTTCCATTTGGGGCGTGAAGCTATTTAGCCTCTGCAGAATTGCCAAGACTGGCGAGTTATTACCTTCCTTCAGAGAACAGACACTGGGAAGTTTTCCTTTAGTTTTTATGCACATGCAGATTAATTTATATGTACACACACACAGTGCAAACACTCGTTTGATGCTTTGCTCGTGAAATGGACATCGACGTGCGCGCTTGCGGAACCGGGTAGCACGTGGGTGTTGGGGAAAGTAGCCTGTGTCGGCGGGCCTGCCGGGACCCGGGCACACTGGGCAGCCCAGCGCGAAGCCATCTCCAAGTGTCAGACGCACCCCCTGGCGTCCCCCTCCGAGCCTTCGCACACTGGCCGAAGGGGTGTGTCTTAGGATTTTCTTGGTTATTTGTATTCACATTTCATTTGCAACCCAAACAGCAAGACAGAACAATTACATGGTGGACAAGTTCACACAGGACATAAAGAGTGACCCAACCTCGGCACCAGCTTGTCTTTAAAAGGTGGAAAAGTTGGCATGTTTTCCTCACAGCTGCTGGCCCTGCCCCCCACCCGGGGCCACACATGCGAATGGCAAGACCGCCCAGGTAAGGAGACCCTCTTCCTTCCTGTGCTCTCGGACCGGCGTGAATAAGTGGGGCGTGGGGCTCACGCTTGAAAGAATAAGATGATCAAAGGTGATGGTGAGAGAGAAGTTTGGATCATTGAGCAGGTGCCTAAAGGGACATTGCAGCAGGAACCTGGGCCTTTGGTGTGGGCCCCAAACCATCAACACAGCCAGCTGGGCACAGAAATACTCACACAGGCCTGGAAATCAGGACTGCACCAACAGCACCGTGGGGACGTGGGACAGCCGCAGCCAGCCCTGTCACAGACCCATCGCTGCGGTTTTGCACACCAGTGACGGGGCGGGGTCCGCGAAGTCGCCGACCGTAGAAGGCAGCTGTGGGCTGCAGAGTCGAGACGGGTGTTAGTTTCTCCTGAAGAAAAGTCGATTTTGTAAGGCGACTAATCTTTCCTGCTCCTCTGTGCGCTTGGACTCATCAGAGACAGTAAAATTTTCAGTGTTTCTTGTCGCCTATGTCTTATCCATGTTTGGTTTATTACGTTTTTTACATGGGGTTGTAGATCCAGTTTTGATAAGTAAAACCAGACCACCATTCTGAGACAGGAAATTTGGATTTATGATACATATACTCTGCATATTTTGATTACTCGTTTTAATTCTGGACTCTCGAGAAGCTTTTAGGTTTGGGAAGAGGTCCCCGTTTCCAGGAGTCGCGGTGCCTGAAACGATACTCGAGTGGGGTGACCAACCCTGGCACTTTGGGCCGTGGCAGCTCTCTCTGACTTGAGGCTCCTTTCTTGGCCGAGTTACTGGGAGCTGTTTACTCGGATCAAAGTGCCTCAACCCAGGGCCCCGCACCCTGCTCTTTGGAAACAAAAGGCTGGAGCCGGGCAGAGTCTGGGGGGGAGCCTTGTAGGCTCCCACAGATACTGACGCCTCGATCCGGGTACCCACAGGAGGCTCTTTCATCAGGAGGTTTCAGTGTGTTCTCCAGGCTGAGATGTGGCTGTTATGGGTTTTATCCTGCTTGGTCAGTGGTCCAGTGATAGGTTCTGTGTCACCTCCCTCTGCCCCTGACTGGGACATCTGCCAGGCTGCCCTCCGTGCAGGGTGGGCGCGCGCGCTCTTGCACACACGCTCCCACAGCTCCCGTGCGTGCTGCCCTGTTTTGGACCCTGTTGCCTCTTGTCTTCCTGTTCTCTTCTTGGACCAAAATGTGGGGATTGGAGCAGCTTTTTCAGTTCAAATGTCACAGCCCAAGTGGTTAAAGGACTTAGAGGGAGAGGCGAACCAGCCAAAAAGAAAATCTTAAACAAAACCAAACCTGGAGTTTGGGCTTTTCCTCAAGTATTTTCCCCTTTTTCTTTGCTCAAAGTTTACCTGGGGCTGGTTATCGGTTTGACTCACCTTTTGTATGAAGTTTAAATTGTCAGTGAGGCTGAGTTGTATGCTAGAGAAGAAAAACCCTCTAGACATGTACAGGTCCACACAGTCAGCTCTTCCGGGCCACAGCCAGCAGCCCACCTGGGTCGGGGAGAACGGGGCTCAGTTCCCCCGCTCCAGACTGGAGCCCCACCCTCTGCAGGGTCCCCCACATCAGCTTCCCTCTCCGCCTTTCCCCACAAGCACAGGCATCCCCCAGCCTTCCTCTGATTCTGGGGCATCTGCATGCAGCTTGGGGAGCACCTGCCCTCAGAAAAGTTCCAACACCTGAGAAAGGGGGGTAGGAACCAAGGCCTTCTCCTGAATAGTCCCCTCTCCAAGCCAGGCTCCAATCTGAGCTACCCGCCGTGCTGTTTTCTCTGGCCTGTTCTTAATAGCCATGTGACACCAGGGCTGAGGAAGCTGTGGGTGGCCTCTCAACAAAATGGTGGGTTTTGATTTTGGCCGAGTGGATGGAAGTGGCTGTCACAGATGCTGCTTGGCTTGCTACCCAATCCACCTGTAAGTCCAAGTGGAACAGACAGGCCTTGGTTTGCATTCATTGCAGAATCTGTGTGTGTTCCCAGTGCCAGGTCACACTGGGAGGGGGTTGTGGGGGCTAACCCGAGTTTTCCCCGCGTGGACCCAGCATCCACTCATAGCTGTGAGGACCACCGACAGAGCCCTTGGCCTTAGAGAGTCTGGTTTTTGGTTCTTCAGTCCTGAGGTCACGTGTCAAGACTAGCTGTTCTGGGACCTGCCTGCAAATCTGGTCTGTCCTTTGAATGAGGTTCTAGTCCTTCACCGGACTGGAGACATGACAGCCTGGATCCAACAGGGACTAAGTATTCTACCTGCCCCCAAACCTGGAGAAGGAGTGGAGACCTGGTCACCATATAGACAAGGGCAGGGGCAAGCGCCTGCTGCCTTGATCTTTGAAAGTCAGGTCTTGCGGTTTGTAGGCCTATAAGGATTTACAAAGGACGTGTTGTTACTGCCCTGTTGCCAGCCGTCACGCTTTCGCAGCCCTCAGAGCCTGGCCCTTGCTGCTGCTCAGGCCTGAGCGGGCCCAGCGTGGGGAGGCGAAGCACAGCGAGCAGGGCTGTCTGCCGGGGGCTGTGGTGGCTTCTCTCTTGGCTTAGTGTCTTTCCTGCTGTCCACTCGGGGTGTGTGGCAAGCCAGGGATCCTGAGAGGAGTCAAGAGTGTTTATCTGCCATTAGTGCCTCTTCCTTCAGGAGACTGGCTCTGTATGAGCATGTACGCACACGTGAGCCCTTGAGTGTGTTAATGAATAGCTTTTTCTTGGCTAATGCTTTATAACTTCTGTTCCCTTCCATGAAAAATGGAGGATTTGAAAGTACTCAGTGTGACCAGAGCCTAAGGTGAAATGTCTGGAATGATAAAGGCTGTTCAGAGTCACCGAATATTAAAAGCTGCAAGTACTTGGTTATTCCCGAGTCAAACCCCAGTGTAGACACTTACTTAGGGTAAGAATCTACCTGTGTGGTACCTGTCAGTCCTGTAATTTGTATTTAAAAAGAGAGGCTGTCCCTCATCCCTGGCTCCTGCCCATATAGCTGTCTCATTTCTTACAGTTTGCCCCAGGTTGACCGGAGGTGATGGAAGGAGAGCCACTGCCTCTGCCCCAGCCCCGCCACTCCCCAACCCAGCAGGGGTCCAGCCCGGTAATCAGGCCCTCAGTGAACCTGGGCAAGTGCCAGGGAAGGGAGAAGGGGTCACTCCTGTACAGAGGGGGTTCCCACTGTGCTGCTGAGCAGCCGCTTTGTTCAGCTGTGTCAGGAGGGCCAGACTGTGCCATAACTGTTATTAAAAAGAGAAAATACGCCAACCTTCCCCTCTGCCCTGCTGGCCATTGTTCATTGAAAGTTTACTGAGCGCAGTCTTTGTGGAAGTTGGGAGGTTGCCAAAGGCCTGCAGATTCCTTCCTGACAGTCCTGATTCCTGGTTTTCTACCACCCGCGTGTATTCTGGTCTCAGTGCAAACCTTTTGTTCCCGAGGGCTGGACTGCTGAGAAGCGAGCTGGGAATGACTCGAGCAGTTTGCTTTTGGTGCGCTTCCTGTCTCCCAGAGACCACTGAAGTGATCGTCTTGGTGCTAAAAGAGAACTGCCCTGTTTCTTTTTGTCCAGAGGCAAATTAAAACTTTATCAAACCGTGTAAGAGGGTCCCACTTCCCATGGTGGCCAAGCATGAGACCAAACCTAGAGAGGCTACTTTGTCAGTCATTTAGGCCGGGGTGGAGCGGGGAAATGTCTATTAACAGAAAGGTGGAATATGCCTTTGGACGAGGCCGTGCCGAGGGGGGAGGAGGGGGCTGCCCTCTGGGCAGTCTCCGGGCATCACAAGGTCCCCTGTGGGGATGCTGCTATTTCTAAGATGCAAATTGCACATTTCCTAGATTTTGTATCTGTGGATTTGGATAAGGGAGGGGAACAGGGACAAACTGCTTGTATAAGAAATGGTACTTCAAGTCTTTTGATTGTTCCTAAATAAAAACGTAAATATATTTCACATCTGCTGACTTTATTTTGTTGGGGGGGGTCAGAAAAAAAAAAAAGCTAAAATACTTCACATCTGCTGATTTATTCTGTGGGCAAGGCCGACCTTAAACTTGGATGGATGAGCAGGGCAGTGTCCCTCAGCCCACTTCAGGAAAGTTCCACCTCACCCGTCTCTCCTGCACTGCTGGTCCACTGTAATGGCTTCTACATGACAGAACTGCTATGTTTTAGAAATTACACTAAACAGAGGCAAACTGAGTCAAAGCAGAGTCATCAGATCTCTGGTGAGAGGACATTGGCAAGTCTTTTGGTGTGTGAGAAAAGTATTGATAAGCAGAGCCTGTCATTTGCTAACAGGGTGGGTGGTGAATATGCATAAGGACCCAGGGGGCCTTAAAGGTGTAGAAAGCAGCTTTATGTTGGATCTAAGAAGCAAGTCCTTGGGAGCTAGACCACACCGGTGTGGAGCCCGAAGCTAGTCAGATGCCCCCCAGGGTGGGTGCAGACTCAGGCAGTGGCTCACTTAGGACACAACTGTGGACGGAGTTTGTAGTAGTGGCCAGCAAGGGGTTGCTGTGAGCTTCCGTAGGGGCAGCTGCAGTGGCTTCCGGGCTGGGGACAGAAGCTGAGTGACACCTGGGCTTGAGTGCCCTGGGATTATCAGGGGATGACCTGGTGAGGGGGCTTCTCAGGCTGTCAGGGCTTGATCCATGTAACTGAAATGCGGGGGAAGCATGATCTCATTTTGTTCCATGAGGTAGATTGGTAGGATAACCTGACATGACAGTATTTTTCCTCAACAGAACTGAAATGGTGAGATGGACTCAAGTTGAAAGACAAGAATTCCTAGCCCCAGGCCCAGCCTTCAGGTGATGTTCAGGACATGCCTGGTCAGGGATCAGGAGGGGAGGACCTACCCTCTCTGCTGGTGGCCACAGGTCCTTATCTGTGGCAGTGTCCTCAACTGAGGTCAGAAACTGCTCCTGCCTTCTCGTCACAGGGCAGCCTTTACAGGGAGGGGATTCTTGACCTGAGTCCTGTGATCAGGCTGCAGTCTCTCTGACCTCGGAGGCAGGTGTGTGTGTGTGTACATGTCTGCTGGGTAAAAAGTTAAGGCCTGCCACTTTGAACCCAGCCTACTTGTTCCTGGTCTACCAACCTGCCAGGAGTAGAGGACCCTGCAAAGGAGCCTGTCCACTTCTTGCCTTTGCCCCTGGCACCACTGACTTCCTGTCTCAAACCTGCTATTGGTTTCCTCTGCCAAAATCACCCCCAAGCACCACTGTTTTTCAGCTTCCCAGGTGATATACGACCCAGGCGGTGGAAGGCAGCCAGCCCAAGCTGTCACACTGCAGACAGGGCCTGCACGCATGGTGTGAGGCATGGAACTACCCACCAGAAGCGAAGACACCCCCGCCCCCTTGCTGGGCCTTCTAGGTCAGTCAAGAGTGAGGGCTCTGAAGGCATTTGAGGTGAGACTGATCTGTGAAGTTGCTTGACTGAGGGCTGTCATGTTTTCCACTAGGAAGAAGGATCGAGGCGTTTGCAGTCCAAGGCAGAGGCAGTGTCGTAGGAGAGCCCCGGGGACAGGCGTGCCTCAGGTTTGTGGAGCTGTCGCTCCCCAAGTCTTGCTCCATAAAGACACTTGCTCAGGAAATGGAGGTATGTCATGATAGAAGTTAGTCACCATCAGCAAGGATGTCACCGGATGACACAGATGGCCATTAATGGCCCTTAACGGCCAACACAGAGCCTGCCCCTTCACTGAATTGGTCACAAGAATCTGGAGTGGGAAGACACGAATCGGGAGCGCCCAGGGTAATTCCCACCCACCCCTTCTTGTCCGAGGGAGGACCGCCCTCCTCTCTCTGAGTCGGACCCCAAAGCTCTAAGAGAAAAGCCGAGGCCGGCAAGAATCTGAGCAGTGGATGTTTGACGTTGGCTGTCATACCCAGGTCAGTAGATGACAGGAAGCATTTTAAACGGTGATTCCAGTTCTCCAAGTAAGCGGTGCTCAGAGGGGCCTAGAACGAAGCAAGAACTGACCCCGAATCTGTCAACTTGGGAATGTACATCTTTGGTGTGACTTAACCATGTAGAAAAGGGACACTCTGAACCCGACTCTAATTTTGCCTTGGGCTTAAAACTGCCTTGTCCAAAACCACCGACCATGCTTTGGTACTCGCACTGCTGCACCAGGGCTACTCTAATGGTCCTCTTAGGAACCCGCTAATTAACTTACCTGCATCTCCGCAATGAAAGATCTTCTCAGGCTCCCTGGGATGGCTTTTTATGCCTGTCCTCGCCCACCCATCCTTCAGGCAGGCACTCCTGTGTATGGCCTCATTTTGAGCCACACCAGCACAGACCACTATGAAAACAGCTGCAGGAAGGGCAGGGCAGGGCCTTTTCAACCATGTTCTGGGCAGAGATTTTGGTTACAAGTTACCAGGGCAACCAGAGTCGCACCCAGCACCCTGTTTGAATGCTACATTTTTTGAAAGGAGACGTTTTTGTGGGGTTGGGAAGGGACTCTGGTTGTTTTCTGCTCACCACTGTAGCTGGCTGACCGTGGAGGCCTAGGCTTGCTACCAGGCAGGCTGCCCTCTATCCAGCACACCCTTGGTGGACAAGGTGGAGGAGAGTGTGGCCTCATACCTCGTAGCCTGGAGGCGGGAAGATCTGCTGGACCTGGGAAGTCACCAAAACTTCCCACCTGCTCCTGTTGCAGAACTACCACCAGGCAACTGTCCCTAGTTAACAAGTCTCCAGACAACAGGCTTTCCTGAGCCCACAAAAAAAAACACTAAGTTAAAGGGAAAAGGGACCCAAAGATGATTTATTGGGCCATCAGATTTCAAGGCAGCAGAGCTATCCCTGAGTCCAATTGCAGGTGTTAGGTTTGCATGTGCTGAATGCTGGCTATGCCGAACACCTGTGCACCCACGGGCCTGGGCCCCAACCTCTGTCCTTAGAGGGGCTGCCTCCCCACCGTCCTCATCTCCCTCCTTGGATCTTTTTACCAGCTAGATAGACACTGCCTAAGTGCAGCAGCTTCATTCAGCACCTGCCTGCCTACCTGTCCTGTCTCCACACCTACCCACAAAGCAGGCAATCCCTTAATCCCACTTCCGTTCCTACGGGAAAGCATATTGAGTCTTCTTTGTCTTAAACCCACCTCACCAGAACAAGCTTTGCTATTTCTTCTCTTCCCACCCCATTCCCAATGGTGCCTTAACACCCCAAGTGAATCCCCCAACAGGGTGGTGCCCACCTACCACTCTCCTCTCACCGGCTCTGCTCCCAGGTTTCCCCCAAAGGTGAGGAGCAGGAGGAGTGAGTGAGCTGTAATACTACTGAGGAGAAAAAATATATACCGTTGTTTTTAAAGTCCTTTTTCGAAGGAAAACTTTTCCAATAAAATTTAAAGTTTTTAATATTTAAATTATAAACCAAACGTTGGCAGCCACATATAAACATGTTTGCTATGGACAAATTAAGACTGTGAGGTCATACTTTCAAATACAAGTTCAGAATTAGTTTAAATAAACTGGTGTATTTCCTCAGAAACTGTATGATTTCCATCAGTTTACGACTCATGATATGGAAAGTTTAACATGATGTTAAATAATTTACCATCTACCCTAAAAGCTATAGAAAACTGAATCACTATTAGGACCGAATAATAACAAGGCTTTAACGGCTCAGTGGTTTTTCTTAAGAGTATATATAAATCTTGAAAAGGTAACACTGTTAGCTGAGCTGTAAAATCCTAAAAAATAACAGTTCTGCCACAGTGCACAGACGAGTTCTTTCATTTTGCTTCCCCGATCCCCTCACCAAGCAGCTTTCAGGTTAGAGATGGAAGACATAGAAAATCCTACATCCTACGTGAAATAAGGAAGATAGTGAGAAATAGTGTGTGCAAAAAATAAACTTTAAAATTCTAAACTCCAACATCATGTATGTCTAGTAATAGGATTTTCAGCTGATTTAAGACTTGAGATATTCTCAGGTGTCCTCTCGTGGTGTCACCTGGCAGATTCAGATCCCAGGTCTTCCGCTGCAATGGGGAAAGGGGTCTTCAGACCAAAACAGGATGGGGTTGTAGCTGGTCTGCGGGACCGCTGGAGGGTGCCTTGTTGAGGAGGGCATGTGATTTGTGTGCAGGAGTTTCCTGAATATACTGGGCAAAATCCCCAGCTCGGTAACTTGCAGTCCATTCTGGTCACACTGGCACCGATCATCCTGACGAAGGCCTCTGGTCTGTCGATCCCTCTGTGACCTGCCGCATCTTGGTGGCACACCCTTGCTGATGACGCATCGTGTAGCATGTCCACAAACTTGTCTGCCCAGGTGAGCAGGTCCTCCAGGCTCATATCCAGGGCCCCACCATGAGCAGTGGCAGGTGGCATGGCCCACAGTGGTGTAACATGCCCAGCTCTGGGTCCTTGTCCTTCCATGGCCTAGAGGTGCTGCTATGGCTCTAGGATACTTTGCCGTTGCCCCTGTCCTTGGTCATGAAAATAGTGTCCTGGGCCTCAGCTTCTTCCACTGGTTCCTCACAGGGCAACCCTCTATGTGGCCTGTGATGCCCAATACTGCTATTTTAAATGTAATCCCCTGTATCTTTCAGGCTGGGTACGGTGCCCAGCCATGGGCGATGTGCCCTTGTGCTGTGTCCTTGTTCTCGGGCAGGCAGAGCGCCTCTCTAGGCAGGCCCTGTGCTTCTCCACCCGGCTCTGGGACCAAACTGCGGGGGCTGCTACCCTCCCACCTTGCCCATCTGTGGTTTTAAAGCTGCAGGACAATGTAAACTTTGTTTCCTTGGCCCAGCAAGGCTGCTCCTCCACTCGGGAATGTTGGCGGCTCCTCAGAGCCTCCTGTGCTGCTGGCTGAGGCAGCCTCTCTCCCCAAGGGGCTGCAGCCATGGTCCTGGCCCCACAAGATGGAAGGATCCACCCCAGAAGTTGGGGCCAGGTGTGTGTGCTTAATGCGAGACAGTAGTTTTTGCCTTCACCCAGGCTGGGGTGTGGAAGCCCCACACAGTAATACATCAATGGCTTGGTTTTTGTCTCGCATTCACTGCTGGAATCTAGGCTCCAGGCTGCGAGACCAGGAAGGCTGCCGTGGCAGGCTGCTTCCAAAGAACCCAGTTCACGGCATTCCACGAGGTGTGCAGCACCTGCTGCTCTCAACTTGGCTGGGGCACAACTAGAGGCGGTTGTCTCCATTGACCCGAGTCCTCCGTGGGGCCCTAGACAGAAGGGATGAGTGTTTTTACTGGCAGTGGGGCCTTGCAGCCTAGTGGGACAGTCCAAAGCCAGATACTTATAACTCTTCTTTCTACCTAAGAGGCAGCAGGAGTACCAAGGAACGATGGAGCCACT